TATAATATTTATTTTCGTTTTTCTTGCAGTGTATAAAAATTTATGTATTTCAAAAATAAAACTATGAAGACACTCAAAATAAATTTCCTGTGGTCGGAAACTATTTTGTGCAACTTTTTTGTATTTACAGTTTTGAGGGATAAGCCTCTTAAATTTATCTAACTAGAAATATATGTTTAAAAAAAAAAAACAATTTTCAATTTTTTTGTAGTTTATTGCACTTTGTGGCAATTTATGTAATTACTATGCACTTAATGCAGACATATTATTAAAATTTAGGCTGTAATGGTTGTATTGATGTCTAGCAACTTGAAATGCTCCCAAAAATGGCACTACAACATGTAAAAATATAATATAAGCTCTGGCGGACTTGGTTCTATGGTAGGTCTTAAAGGGTTAAAAAAATGAAAGAGTAAATAAATTGCGGCTAAAATCTAATATTTTGTTGACCCATCCATCCAACCCAACTTCATCTGTGTATAGCTCAGATTTCCTTTTCTCCTCTGATGATAAGAAACATGTATTGGAAATTTCTGCAAAGTGTTTCTTTTTTCCATCTTACGCCATAAATAAATATCTTTTTACTGTATGTTAGGTTACTAAGCACACACAATGAAGCACTGACGACATATGCAGTATGGTTTAAACTACAGCGCTTCTGTCATTCACCATCTAATCTGTCTCCTGAAAACGAGGTGTACTGCTGTGAAACAGACACAGATACACTCTGGCTTTCATCTCAGGAGAGAAGCAGCAAAGAGGAATTCCCTTTCTATTTTCTTCCACTTCAACTTCTTAACTCAAAGAGATGTGTGTCTCAGAGGTCAAAGCAGACAGTAGCAGAGTTTCATAGATTTGTGTCTTCTCAGCTGTTATTTGTCCCACGCACATATTAACCTTTACCCTGAGCCTCTTAACATTTTAAATCCCTTTCTTATCTATAGTTAAACAAAGGGCTGGGATCTACTTACTACACAGACACACAAAAAACACTACTGCTTCTCTGATCCGCATTCCTGAGATTTATATTTGATGAACCACAGAACAGGAAAAACAAGGTAATGACAGGAGAGGGGGAGACACTGAAGTGCATCACCAGCTTTGGACCGTTCACTCTGCTCTCTTTCTGCCAATGGCTGTTAAAATGCTGCACCTAAGATAACAAATATATATTTACATACTTGGTGCAGAGTTTTGTGCAGATTCACAAATGAAAAACTTCACAATTAGCCATATAGCAGCTACAGGTATCATGACGTTTTCTACCTGCCTAAACAGGCTTTCCTTAATATTATTTCCTTCATAATAATGAGCCCTAATATATGGAAGCCCGTTTCCGCCACTAAATAAAAACAAAAAAACAGTATCCTTAACTCAAAATTTTGAGAAAAGTAACTCGAAATTTCGAGAAATATAACTCAACATTTCGAGTTACTTTTCTCAAAATTTCGAGTTAGCTCTGCCAATCAAAAATCTACGTGGATGAGGTCGCTTTCTTGTTACCCGGAAGCATATGGTGCAGAGGAACGCGCACTCAAAAACGGATCCCAACAAATTGGCGCTTTCGCGAGTACGTTTGCTGATAGTAACACCATGTGATTCAGCTAATAACACAGGGATTTCATCATTTGTGAAGCCACGCTGAAAACACTCAGCAATCTGTGCATTCACGACTGGATGTAATACCGGTAGCTTAGCTGTAGCATTTGTAGCTGAGGGCTTCAGCTTCCGGGTAACAAGGAAATGACGTCATTCACGTAGATTACTGATTGGCAGCGCTAACTCGAAATTTCGAGTTACTTTTGGATTTATTAACTTAAAATTTCAAAATTTCGAGTTAATATGTCGAAATTTTGAGAAAGTAACTCGAAACTTCGAGAAAATAACTTTTTTTTTTAGTGGCGGAAACGGGCTTCCATACTAATATATCCTACAGGTTTGGTAATTTTTAATTATTAAAAATTGCCAGTGACAAGTACAGGGGGTGATAAATTGGTCATTAAATGAACACACTGGTAAAGCTGGAAATTAATATCAAAGAATTAAATGTAATAAACAATAAACTGCAGTATAACGTAATAAAAACATACATATGTAGTCTGAGCAGTTAAATACATAACTTGAATCTATCAGACAGGTAAGGGTCATGAGTATAGTGCTTATGATAAGTCAGACAGACCAAGGTTGAAACAGTCGTTCTGGATTTTGAAATACTATCCAGATTATTTGTCTTGAAGAAGGTCTGGGTGGATGGATGGGTCAATCTAACTTCATACTGGTGCTGTCATTTTGATTGAATTTGTCTTATTGTTACTGTTATAGCATCTACTGATGTTTAATTCTAACAAATTAGCATTTATAAACTTAAACATAATATTTCCTAAAAGTGAAACCAAGTTTGTTTTTTTGGGGGGTGGGGGTGAATAATAACTATGTAACAATCGATTTAGGATCCTATGTTTAATCTCATTCCAGCATTTGTCATTAATGACAATGAGCAGCTTCAGTTAGTATAAACAGCATTACATGAACAAACTGGTATTCAGCTTGATTCCAGATAGGTAATGCCTATAATTTGATCATTTAAATACTCGAGATAGAAAAAAGCTCATTACTGTTCAGACAGATGAAATTCCCTGAGGAATTTGAAAACGCTTCATAACACTTCATCAATCTCTTCCTCCTCCCTCCCGTTCTCTCTTTTTTTCCCCCTGCTCCATCTTCGACCAGGATGTTGGGTCTGATCTCGACTGCGGCAGAGAAACACTGCAATTACCCAAAGCAGATGGGGGAGTGTGGGAGTCTCATGTATTCATGAGGCTTGTGAGAAGCACACACTCTCCTCTGTGTCACGTTGAGATTTTTTCTCTGTATCCGCCCTCTTTTATTCCTCTTTCACTTTCTCTTTCCTGCAACAGTCCGTCTGCCTGTTTCATCCTGCCCTCCTTTCTACTCTAAAATGTCGCCCTTCGCCTCCTTTTCTCCTTTATGCTCTCTTGCTTCTTTCTCCTTTCTTGCTCCTCTTCGATTTCTTTTGCCGACCACTTGATGAGGCTCTGTTGTCTCTTTCATGCTGCACCCTACTGCTCACACCCCTCAGGTCGCACAGCTGTATGTAGGTCAACCCCGCCTCCGCCTGTTTCTCCCAGCCTCCCTCCCCTCTGCCTGATCAGACTGCCCTACTTTCAGCTGGATCCAGAGTACCACTGACATCACCCTATCCCCCCCTTTTTTAATTTCTGCTCACTAGCATTACAGCTGCTACTGACTGCACTACTTTTCCTTCTCACCAACATCCTCATCGTCCATAATCTCCTCTACCATGACTAGCAGGAAGATAACCTTCTCAGTGAAGCTAAAAATAAACACCGTAGCGTGGGATCTGGTGATGAGGAGTCGGTCCTCGGGTTCACATTTGCATCCGTGATGCTTCTCATCCACGACGGCTCCGTTGCTAGGGAGATCATCACTAAAACGCCAGGACTGGCAAAGCAATGCCGAAACAACCCCCACCCACTCTTCTTGTATTCAGTCCAGCCCTGCAATCTGTCTGTCACTCTCTTTTTCTCCTTCGCTGTCCTGTATATCAAAGAATCAGCCTTTTTTCACGTTGTGCATTTTTACAAGTGTGTCCCGTGGTTACAGAATAAGGTCCCTCATTGACTCCATAAATTGTCCTGAACACGACTAACAATGTGTGTTTTAGAGGCCAAAGCAGTTCCTATATTAGAGCATTTTTAGTTAATTCTTTGCAACACATATATACATATACAGGTCTTCAAATATCCCAAGTATTATCTTCAGTGGTCAGGTCATTAGATACATGGGAGTGATCTGTGCAATCTAACTGAATCCAGCACAGCTCTTCTGCCCCAGTGTTTACTGGTATGACACACACTCACATAAAAACACACATCTTATAGGTGTTAATTCAAATCATTCAGGATGCAATGCATTAAAGCTGTGAAAAATGACCAGGATGTTCAGGAAAATCTCTTTTATCAAAATAAAATCCATTAGTTTGTTGTAGAAAGGTATCAGCATCCTTTAATGTGTCACTTTTTCCAAAATAAAAGCCCCCAATTACTTTTTTAACAAAAAAAAAAATGCAGAAGTGTTTCTAATGTTCTGACCCCATATTGCATTTTGAAGTATGCACAAACATTTCTCATTTTTAAGTCTTATTCTTTAATGTTTATTTTTCTTATTTCTTGTGATTAAACTAAAAACGAAACATTTTGATATTCATTACTTTTGGTTCAATCTGCAAAACTTTACATCTGAACTCTTAAAAAGCTCTCTATACACTCTAGTTACATTAATGTAATTAAAGCTGCAGTGCAGAGTAATTGCTTCAGTGACTGACTGAAAAAGAAATGCTAATCGTTCTCCAGGATTTCAAGATTTCATGATGCAAAATGCTCGGCACATCCCCATGTGCTGTAAGAAACTAAAACAGTTATTTTTTCCAAATTTTTTTAAAGCAGTTCAAAAACGAGGCAGGTCAATTAACCATAAAACATTAGGCTGAAAACATTTTTAAAAATCTGAACCAGATGAAACCATTCAACCACAGTGGTGGTCGAGAATCCTTCACATCAAATATGCTTCATGCATCAAAAACACTTGCGATGCTCCAAAACCAGAACAAAACCTTTCCTGCTTTTCTTCTTCGCACTGCCTGCCGCATCTATCTTGTCATCAGTTTTTCAGCCGGCTGCTCGCCATCAGCTCTCCATGCCGCCCCTCCCACCCCTGGCTTCCTCCTGCATTCCTTCAGACTGTCCTCGTCTCTTTGCCTTTTCTTTGTTGGCTTTTCCCTTCTCCTCCTACTTTTATAACTGTATTTTAATTTTTTCTTATCTTCACTTTAAATAGCGTTAAACGATTCTCTGTCCTACAAACTGGATTCAGACTAACCTCGATTTTTGACTCTATAACCAAGCATCCTATTAACCTCAAAGGTTTAAGTCTATGGTAAAAGGACATTATTCATTTATTTCCACTGTTGTCTAAAATTTTGACACGTGTTAAAAATACATGAATTAATCACAAATAAAAAATCAGTTGCTGTAATATTTAAGCTAATTTTTGCCTATATATTTGTATTCTCCTTGCTTTGCATGACTCTCAGTTCAAAATAATCCTTAAATATCTTACACTGGACCTTTGTCTAGCCCATCTATATGAAACAGGTGGTTTTAGTTCATCCCCCCATATGAAGCTCACGCTCTGTCTTTGACATTAGACAGTTGGAAAAATCTGTGTGAAACTGGGTGTTTAAAACATTCTGGTGCCCGGGCTTTTGGCTCACAAGGATTAGCTCATTAGTGCATATACTGAACTCATTACTTGAAATTTTGGGCCATGTTTAATGTGGCCATTTCACCTCTGTAATAGTATGACAGAAAATAAGGAAAGGCAGACTCAGCTGTCTGTTTTTTACATACAAACAAAGTTCACAAGCTTAGCACTCCTTTTTTAAAGTACAACATATTAATCACACATGTGGCTAGAATTGAATAGAAGGTGGCATAACATGACTTACACATGTGAAAAACAATGTTTTCACATGACACTGTGCAGACCTGATTTCCTGTCCAGTACACCCTGTGATTCTAGATCCAACCTAAGCACCAATAAATCAAAATAATCAATTACTGTGTGATTTGGCAGTTTCTGACATTGCTGTAGAGGTATTTTAGTCCACTCTTCTTTAAGTTGTTGCTTTAGCTCATTTAGTTATTTCAAAATTCACCTTTCCACCATTCTGTTGTAGGTTTTCAGTTGTGCTTTATACAGAGGTCGTGATCAATTCAGTGACTGGCTGCAGAATAAGCCCAAATAACCACCCAGCGAAACATCTGCATGTCGTGATTGTGGTTATGCAGTCGCCGTACTGCTGCAGAAAAGCTGCAGTTTCACTCTTTCGTCCTTGAGCTCAGCACTGAATCTCTTTTACTTCAAATGTTCTGAGTCATTCTTTCCTGAAAACTTTGCTGTGAGATGTGAGAAGAAAAAAATAAAAAATAAAAATACACGAGCATTTTCTGCAGCCCTGTCTCTGAGAGAGGAAGACTCATGTTATTGTTTACCTCACCTGCCTTTCTTTTTTTACGTTTCTAATATTTTTTGTAATTCTGCTACGAGCCTCTGACAGTTTACGAAATCTTCACTCGCTGTGATTTCAGCTCCCTTTAATCACCTCTAAACATCTAAATTAAAATATTAAAATGGTGCAACATTCTTAATTAAAATGTAACTTTTACAAAAAATAGAAATTGTTTCTCAAATAATATCAAGTTTGGGTTTGGGTCCCTTAAATTAATCAGAGATTGTGCTCTAAAAAGAGGCAGGATCCCTCAACGGGAGGTGCTCATCATACTCATTGAAATTCTGCTGTTCTTGGTTCTTATTATTATTTTCAGTCTTTGCCTCCTGTTGATCAACATGTTTCACAGCCAAACTTTTGAAAACAATCCTGCTGCGGTTTCAAACTCCAAAGTACTTCTTATTGTACACTTGCTCAGACGTGCTGGTCCAAGGACCTTGCGAGCTCAGATATTTCAAACAGATCTTTTTTAGATTCTTTCTACCAAACTTATTTTCCCCTGTGCTCTCTGTCTGCATCAGCCGCTCTCTGTCGTTTCACACAAACACAAGCCAGGGTGGCACTTTGGCCCAACGGCAGTGCCAGCCAAGAAACTGTTTTCTGGTTGAGTCATCGATGGAGGGAGTAATGTACTGCAGCTGAGACACAGTGACTGCCGAGTAGCTGATAATAAATCTCCTGCATCATATTGCCCAAAGGCCCCAGTTTTTAGTTTTGTTTGACTGACTTTTAAAGAAAAAAAAGTTTTGTTTTTTTTTAAATAAAAGGAAGGTTTTGAGATTTTGGATTATTCGTTATCAGTACTGAAGAGTTAGAAGGGCAAAAATATGTATTTTTAAAGTGAACAACAGTACAAGGTGAGCTTTGCATATCAAAGGACTTGGTTGTGTCTGCCTAGCAGCACTTCTAAAGCAAAAAGTGACTCCAAATGTTACTTTGGCAAGAGCCAAGTCACCCATTCCCAAATATATAATGAAACACTTTTAAAAAAGTATTTATGAGAATCTAAACTAATAAATTACTGCTACTCAGTGAATATTTTTATGTAGGATGATCATGGTTTGAATGTTTATTCAAGATGTCCTGCCCTAGTTGAAACAAAATGCATTTGTTTTTGTCACTGTTTATGATCATAATTATTTACTGGTTTGTAAGAGACCAGTGCGCCCTACCCATTTTGGCCCCAAAATGCTCTCACTGTCTCGTTTACCATACACACATCAGCGGTACTAATCTTCAGATGCTGTTATTTTGAGGCACAAACCAAATAAGGGTTAAAAAACCCAACTTTTTTTCAGACTTTTGTCGTCTCCTCACCTGCGCTTACGCAACTTCTTATTCTCTGTCTTGAGCACGTGGAGCTTCTTGGCGAAGCACACGATGATCATGAAGAGCAGCAGGACCACCAGAGCCGAGGCGCCCACGGCCAGACACATCACCTGGAACTCAGTAACCACCGACTCGCAACGGGCACCCTTGTGCCAGATGTAATCCTGGACGTTGCATCTGAGGCAGACAAAGAGGTTTCAAAGGACAGGTTGAGAGAGAAATTGAGTCAGGTGGAATTACGTATATAGAGAAAAATCGGGGACAAGGGGAGGAAACAGAGCAGAACAAAAGGATATGACCGGGACGATGAACAGTGAAGAATGTAAAATGAAATAAGTTGTGAGCAGAAAGGGAAAGAAAAAAGAGATCAGTGAGTTAAAATCATGTCTTACCAATTTCTGCGAGTTTTGTGTGTCTGTCAGTTTCACGTTTTAGCCAATTACAAGTTTGGCTTTTAAGAATTATCTAATGAACACACATGCTGTGAATGCCTCCGTACTCAAAGTCTCTTCATTAAAGTTCAGGATTTCCTCTCTGCTTCTGATTATCTTTAATCAGAAACAGAGAGATGTGGGAATTCAGGAGGCTCTTAACATGCTGCCAAAAGTCCTCCAAATGTTCCACAACATGATGTGTGTTACATAAACCTTCAGCGTAAAGCCATCTACTAGAAGAGCGTTTGTCGCCGGCAGGTTTGTGAACGCTTTATTGAAAAATATATAAAGTCATCACTATGTGTGTCTGAAAATAGAAAGTGAAAAAGGAAAAACAGCCTGAGGTGATTTTTTTGTTATAAACACACTCGCTGTCAAACAAAAACACACGCATACACAGTCAGAAAAGATATCAGCGTTTAGAACATGTAACACAAAACATATGGGCAACCATGTGTGGATGTATTTTGTGTGCACACACACACACGTCGACGCACACACACACAAAAACACACACAGCTGCCATGCAAGTCCCAGACTCCCTTCATAGCCATTTGGCGGAGTACGGTGTCCGCCCGGGGACATAAACGACAGGGGCAGATGGCTTTGTCTACAGACTGTTTGGCGTGTGAAATGGCAATGACTATTTCACCACTTAATGAGACTGTGATGCTGCAGAGAGGCGCTACCTCACTGCCACAAGTGCAAAAATACAGATGAAAAAAGTTGAGGTTCATTTTTGCCTTAAAGGACTTTTGCTTATTATCCCGACTATGCTCAGTGACGTCTAGATTAATTTCACCCATTTGTTTTCCTGCCAACAGTTAAATGTGGAGATCAATAGAACTAATGTGTGTGTGTGTGTGTGTCATAGAGCTAGAATTGTGAGGTATTAAGCTTAGCTGAGCTAGCTTTGTCTAAACTCACAGGTTGTACAAAGAAATTCAACCATTCTCATGTTTATAAAACTACATCCCAGAATAAAGAATGGTCATCATCTCATCATCAACCAAAAGCAGCCATTCATAATTTAATTTGTCTGATGTGTGAATTATTATCAAGCAGTCCTAAAATGGTACTGATCCATCCAAACTTTGACAACCTGTGATCTAAACTTAAAAATGAACGACTCTACATATGTTGATTAGGTGTATTTCTGATATTTGGACAGTAGATTAGATTGAATGTTTCCAGTTGTTATGCTAAGTGTAACAGGGTCATAAATCACATATTGTTATAATTACACAAAATGTGTTCTAAACCCCCAAACCGTTCCTTTTAAACCTGACTTTTAGGACCTCCAAGCCTGTAGTTATGTTCATTATCAGTTAGAGCCCCTCCTCATTCTTTTCTTCTTCTTCTTTGGTGCAATCCTATAAATACAATGTACCCCCTTTGCCTCTCCCCTTTTCTACAATTCCCCTGTGGGAGAGGTGGGTGTCATTTCTTTCCAACACTGTAAAACACACATATAATGCATATTTAGTGTGATTTTTTTTTTTGTGATTTTAGTTCAATTATTGTCATTATTAAGCCTGTTTTTTTGGTAGATGTTACAAGTGTGTAGTATGTATGTATCATAAATATGTTTTAGGCGCCATAAATGCTAGCATGAATATATACTCCTTGCTAGCTTGGAAGTTGTGGTGGGTTGAGCTAACCCTCTTCCCCACTGTTTGTATGTGATCGTAGGAGCTGGAGTGGGCAAATTATTTACTTGGAGGTCTTTCTTTCTTTTACCTTTTTTATCAGGTATGTCGGATTTCATGTTGTTGTTTTTGTTTCATCTTATGTCAAATATGTTACGTGTAAGTGCATACTTTATGTTTAATGTAAAAATAAATGCCAGCCCTTTTCTACAATTCCCCTGTGGGAGAGCAGCTGGAGTGGGCAAATTATTTACTTGGAGGTCTTTCTTTCTTTTACCTTTTTTATCAGACACAACGCAGAATCACACCGGTTACATAAGCTGAGCTAATTGCAGCTCTGATTTGGGTATATATGATTGCATTAACCATTTTAAACCTTCCACGGACTCTAGATTCAGAAAAGGCCATGTTGTAACCTTAATTAATACTCATGTGGTAGCCAGTTGACAGCTTTGGCTTTGGCTGCATCTCCCCTACTCTCTGTGTCACGTATTGTATCCATAGATCTACAGATCTACACAAACGGACGACCATAAAAGTGATTAAAGGTGCCGGTGGTGCTCATACCCTCTGACTGAGCTCCATACATGTTAAACAGGCTTCTTTCACTGGCTCACTTCCTGTATCCTTCCTGAATCCTTGATGCTTTTATTTTGCCAGCTGAAGGAAACACTGGCAACATGCCAGGAGACGTTTTGAGTTCGAGCATATATTGAAGAAAGCGAAGCGATGAAACCCGATATCACTTTTTTAAAAATGTAGACTTCACTGCATTCACTCTCAGAGTGTTTCTGCATTCATACAAGAGGTTTATGTAAGATGGATAGAGGGAGGGTGTAGGTGGGGGAGAAAGGGACGGATGCATAAAGGAAGAAGGCGAGCAAGGATGTGCTAGTCACCATGGCAACCCAGCTGAGCGGCAAACAGAGCAGACGTGAGGCTGACATGCCATCAGACACATACATCTGCTCTGAGTGGTCCGGAGGGACACCATTCTGTGTTAGTGGCCAGTTCCCCGTTTATTTTCTCCCATTCCCTCCCTCACTCCCCCTCCTGCTTCTTCACTCCTGCTGCTTGTCTTCTTAAAGATTTCTTTTCTTGTTCAGTGGCTCTCTTGTCTCTCCTTCCTCCTCCTCCTCCTCCTGCACTTTGTCAAGCGCCTCCAGCTGAATTATGTCTCTCCTTTCAGTTTGTGCAACTGTATTTTTTTTTTTACTCTTTTTTTTGACGTTAGGATTGAACACAGCGGTCCGAGTCGAATATCGTAATCTTGTTATGGTTGTAAAGGAATGAGCAAAACGAAAGCCAGCAATGACCCTATCTGTAATGAGTGTGTAGCCAAAGTCTGATCCATCTTATTCGTGTAACACACAAAAGTTCATCAACATCAAAATGAGAGAACAGAATTTAAATTTACAGCTCAGCTTGTCTCCAAAACTCCAACTGAGACAAATTCATCAATAATCAATCATTTTAATTTAGTGTGTTACCATGCTAACACTTGTTATTATGCACTCACTCTCCTGCCAACACATTCCCATTGTAGCCCATCAACGTATAAAATACTTTACACGTTGTGTCAGAAGCTGCTAGGACGAGGATACAAGCAAGGTGTCCTTTGGCATCGGTGCTTTGATGCACTGGCTGTGCAGATATTGAATACCAATAATTAATAATTATGTTTGAAAACGGGACAGTTCATCAACCAAGGGGCTGCAGTTGCTGTCCCTCCTTTGAGGTTTAAGTTCACTTTTTGCTACCCACACATTTAAGGCTTTAAGGACGCGACACTTAATATGACACATTAACAATAATGATAAAGGAACAAGGAGAGCAATATTATTATTAATGATATCCTTTAATAATGACCAGGTTTAGGACTAGGACACTTATTTCATTGTTGCTACAACTCATCTTTCAATTCAATTCAGTTCAATTGTATTTATGTAGAACCAAGATTTTGGTAAAAGTGGGAAAGAAAAACTCCTTTTTAACAGGAAGAAACCTCCAGCAGTACCAGGGAGGCTCAGGGAGGGGCGGGCTAGTTGGGGTTGAGGGGAAGGACACAGAGACATGCTGTCGAAGAGAGCCATTGATTTGGGCACCAGTGCCTGTGTCTGTCTCAGAGACGTCAGTACTTGATGACCTGGGATTGAGAACGGGGCTCACTCTGTGATGTAAATAATGACTCTGTGACACAAGATATCCTCCAGGAACTTTAAGGAGATTTTAGTTTAAATTCTGATTGTGAAACAGAAGAACTAAGCAAATAGCAACATTTCTCTTACATCCAGTGTGTAAAGTATCCGAACGACTTACTCTGACAGAGGAAGGTCTTTGCCAATCAAGCCAATACAGAAACCCATGAAATCCCGCAGTCAGCTGATGTCATTTTTTGTTACTGTTGGGTTAGGAACCATGAAAAGGACCAACTGAGATGTTTGTGGGGAAATCCATGCCATCAAGACTTCAAAGCATCACAAGTAATTATTAAGTACTGAATAAAAGCCTGTTTTTAAGTTTGATTGCACTTGGAATCAATTAGTTTGTAATTGAGAAAGAAGGTAGAAAAGTAAAAAGAAATGACTGAAAGCTGAACTAACAGCTAATTCCATTGTTTTTGTGGGATGTGTTGACAGCAAGAATGACTCCGGCTTCCTCCATTAAGATTGTTGGACCACAGCTTAACAGGCTGACACAGGAGGAAATAGCTCGGCTGGCTTGGCTTGGCTGAATTTCGAAGAGAATCTTTAGGATTGAATTTCCTCCTCCAAAAGTCTCGCGTCCCCACCAGCTGCAAAGAGGAGAAATCAAACTGGAAAAGACCCTTGATCAGGGAGGAAAAAACTTTTACTGTTAAATCTCCTTCAAAAGCACCCAACTCCACCGGAGATATGACAGACAGCCTCCCTCATTCCCAGTCCTTCCTTCCCAAAAACTTAAAACTTCCCACATATCCCACAGCCCTTCCCTTTGTGTCCCACAGCACAGTTTTTTTCCCTCCCTAACCCGTCATTATCTCCCTTGCCGCGGCTCACCACAGCCGCATTAAAAGCTACGTTGTAGCCTGGCAGTAATATATCAGAGTTAGACT